CTGCTCGCTCGCTCGCTCGCTCCCTCCCCCCCCCCCCCCCCCCCCCCCCCCCCCCCCTCCCCTTCTCTCCTAAGTAAACATTAAAATAAATAAAATAAAGTTTGACTATCAGCTTTCAAAGTGTGGATTCCATCTTATCATTTTAGCTCTTGATTATATTTTGAGTGTTGTTTTTATGGTTATCTTATTGGGATATATGTTGGCTGTCAGCGTATTTGATAAGTCTGTTATGATGTCAGGGACTTGGAATTTTTTTTTTAAACTTTTTATAGGTGTTGTTTGAAAAATATGACTCTAAATCATTTATAAAATGCTTAACGGGAGGCGCCTGAGTGCCTCAGCTGGTTAAGCGTCCAACTTTGGTTTTGGCTCAGGTCATGATCGCATGATTTGTGGGATTGAGCCCAGTGCTCTGCCTCTCCCCCCACTCAAAGTATAATAAGTTTTAATAAAGGCTTAATGGGCTGTGTTCCTTTGCCTAGTCTTCTGAAAACTAAATAAGGTTTTTGGCAGTTAATTAAATCACACTGGGTATCCATCCGACTTCAGATTCTCTTATACAGTTACCTAGTTCTTAGCTTGTCACATATCAACAAAAATTTGATGAAAAATTTGGATCCTTTTATGAAGTCATGGTACATGAGTATGGTGTTTCCCCAGAGTATCAGTTGGGTGACCGTATCGAGACAGGAAATGAGTTTAGTTCAACCATAGCTTTTCCTTAGTGAAATTTTGTATACTTGTCTGTAGTTCCCATAATCTATCATTTTTCCTTTTTGAAAATGAGTATAACATTTACAAGTTAGTAATCTGCTGTTAACTTTTCATTCCCCATGGCTTTTAAAAATTAGCTTGGTGGCTGTGAAGTTTTTATCCATGGAATGTATTTCTCCTATAACTAGAAACCTGGGCTCATTTAAATCCATTCTCTGGATGTCTTATCCACTTCAGCCTTAAAGTCTTTCTTGGCAGTGTTTATTTTGTTGTTCGATTTTGAGGATAATTGTGTAGAAGGTGGTAATAAAATGGGAATACCTCTGTCTTATATTATCTGTTAACATTTTATTCTCTGGGCTATGCAAGTCTCATATATTAGTCTTTTTCTGAATATTTTAAAATCTCTTTTTAGGGCCTTAACTTTTTTGTTTTGATTAGACTCACTCATTATGGACTTCTGTTTTTCTCATGCTGTTCTAGTGATTTTTATCTCTTTTGTACATCCTTAATTAGTCTCTTAATAATAGTTTCATACTTACCTTTCTCAGAACCCTTTGTAATCTGAAGTCCTGAGGTACATGTTTCTATTACCTTCTGTTCTTTTTCATTACTGTTTATAATTTTAAGATGACATGATTTATTTAGTGAAATTTCCCTCCTGTTCTCAAAATTTGATCCCTTTTACTTCACAACAAATTTCTGTTTTACTGTTTAGAACTGAATTCTGAAGAGCAGTTCATTTGTTTGCATTATGGTTAAGAATACAGGCTTTGGAATCAGACAGACCTAGATTGAAATCCAGGCTCTGCCACTTTCTAGCTGTGCGACTTTTGGCAAGTTACCTAACCTTCCTTTTAAAAAAAAAAATTTTTTTTTAACATTTATTTATTTTTGAGAGAGAACACAAGCAGGGAGGAACAGAGAGAGAGAGACACAGAATCCAAAGCAGGCTCCAGGCTCTGAGCTGTCAGCACGGAGCCCGACGCGGGGCTCGAACTCACAGACTGCGAGATCAAGACCTGAGCTGAAGTCAGCCACCCAACCAACTGAGCTACCCGGGCACCACTTTTATATATATATGTATTTAAAATTTTTTTTTAATATTTATTTATTTTTGAGAGACAGAGACAGGTTACCTAACCTTTCTAAGTCTCCATTTCCTGTTCTGTAAAATGAGGGTACTGTGAATATTTAAAAAGATGATTCATGGAGGGATGCCTGAGTGGCTCAGTTGGTTAAGCATCTGGCTCTTGGTTTCGGCTCATATCGTGATCTCACGCAGTCCATGGGATCAAGCCTCAAATTGAGCTCTGTGATGACAGTGTGGAGACTGCTTGGGTTTTTCACTTCTCTGTCTCTACCCCTCTGCATGCTCTGCTCTCTCTTTCAAAATAAATAAATTAAAAAAAAAAAAAAAAGATTCAAGAAAAAGAACTTCACCCAGGGCCTGGTATGAAGAAGCAAATACACAACAGATATCAACTGATGTTTGTTTCCTCTGTCTTCTAAGAGAGGAAATTATTTTATTAATTGAATCATCGTAATTGTGCTTAGGGTAACTCAGTCTACAATATTTTCACTCTACAAAATTAGGCTTCAAGCAACTATTACAATAGAAAGTTCTGTCACTGTCTCTCTCCAGCTTCTTTGCCAGCTTGTAATTTGTATTAGGAAAGTATCACCTGGCTATGACTTGCTCCTTTTATCTTCACCCAAATGCTGTCTACCATTTTGGAGAAGGCTGGATATTGATAGTAGGTAGTGGGACTTGTCCTGGGCAAAAACATGAATGTGGCAGAGTTAACGATAGATACATAGATGTAAGGAGAGAGATGAGGTAGAGGTAGGTGGTGAGTGCCTGGTGAGGTATGAGGACAGTTTAAATACATTTAAATTTAAATACATGGCAGGTTGTCCTTGGGACAGTTATTGGCACACAAATCAGGTGGAAGGCCATGGTTAGAAACTGTTGGTAGGCAATAGTCAGCAAAATGATAGGTGAATTGGTATTTCTTCTGAGATGTGGATTTGATGAGCAAGCTGCCAAGGACGACCTGAAAGCAGCTAGTACTCTTTGGGCTCCTGATGGTTCACTGAAGCATTGTTTCATAAATTTCTGTACAAGTTTATGTTTGTATAACTTTATTATGTACAAAGTTATTACCTTTTCCTTTCTATAGATTCAGTAGATAGGTTTTCTTTATTTTGAGCAAGGTTTACCCACTTGTATTCTCTCGTGAATTCCAAATCTGAGGGATGTCTCTTCAGTTCTCTGTATGAAGTAGTTGTCATTTATTCAGTACTTGCTATATGCTAGTCATCTTACCAGTCCTTAATAGATTTCTGTTTCCTACCGGAGCTTCCTGACCTGAACTGTTTGCCACTTCATTTACTTTTAATTTTTCCAGATGTGGCCTCCCATATATTTATTTTAGTTCCTGTGTTCCTTGATAATACAGTACAGGGGTCAAGAGTATGTCTTTAGAGCCAGGACTGTCTGGGTTTGCATCCCAGCTCTATCTTACTAGCTGTGGAAGTATGGGCAAATTAATATCTCTGTTCCTTAGTTTTGTTCTCTGTAAAGTAGGACTAAAAATAGTACCTTTCACAGGGTTTTGTGAGAATTGAATACATTAATGTATGAAAAATTATTAGAGCCTGGCACATTTTATGCTCTCAGATGTTAACAATTTTCTGATTTGTAATTCTCATAGCCTTCCTTAAGCAGACATTTTGCTGATGAGGAACCTGAAGTTCAGAGAGAGAATTGGCTTTTAGAAGGTGTTATGCTGTTGTCTTGCTTACTAAATGTTTTTCTTTCTTTCTTTTTTTAACGTTTTATTTATTTTTGAGAAAGAGAGCACGCGAATGAGGGGGGGCAGGTGGGGACAAGATCAGAAGCGGGCTCTGAGCTTGATAGCAGAGAGTCTGATGAGGGCTGGAACTCACAAACTGTGAGATCATGGCCTGAGCCGAAGTCAGATGCTCATCTGACTGAGCCACCCAGGTGCCCCTAAATATTTTTCGTTTTTACAGAGTATGAAAGACGTAATATTTGTCTATAGTTGTCCATCTTTGTTTCTCACAAGAACAGCAAACGTGTATTTTAAAGGGTGAGGGAGGCATTAGAAAGATGCTGTGTGTTTGTAATGGTAACAATTATTCAGCAAGCATTCAAGTCCCTACTAAGTGCCAGTCACTGTGCTAGGAGTTAAACACAGTCCTGGCTTCAAGGAGTTTACAAGCAGGTGAGGAAGGTAGACAAGTTAATTGACTGTTGCAATAGAGGAAGGCAGACAAGTTAATTAACTGTTGCAATATACAGTAATAAGTATAATCTTTAAATGTAGATGCTATAAGAACACATAGGATAAGCTGCTCATCCAAATTTATTTGGGGTGGTTTATGGTGTTGGGTTGGAGAAAAAAGTAAAGCCTAAGCTAGTCTTAAAAGATGCACAAAGGGGCGCCTGGGTGGCTCAGTTGGTTAAGCATCCAACTTCAGCTCAGGTCATGATCTCCCGGTCTGTGAGTTCGAGCCCTGCGTCGGGCTCTGTGCTGACAGCTCAGAGCTTGGAGCCTGCTTCAGATTCTGTGTCTCCCTCTCTCTCTTCCCCCCTCCTCATGCTCTGTCTCTGTCTCAAAAATAAATAAAAACATTTTTAAAAAAGATGCACAAAGAGTAGGAAGGAGAAAGACGGGTGCCTTGTGGGCAGAGGTGACCTTGCATCAAGCCATACCCACTTGAGAAGAGCATCGTGAATGTGGGAAACAACATACATTATGGTATGACTGAAGTTGAACCATGTGAATTTGTCAGATTTGATCATTTTGACCACCAAAAGAGCATTGTGAGAGGAAGGATGATGGGAGGTGGAGCTGAAAAAGCAAACAAGAGCCAGGTCAAAAAGAGCCTAATTTTACCTGATTACAAATGTATGCTCTCCCGGACTTTTAAACAGATGAGTATTATTTTTTATTTTTTTAAAGATTCATCCTCAGGATGGGTACATTTCATTGTATATAAATTTTTTACCTCAGGGATGGAAACTGGAAAATGAATCCTAGTTAATGATATATGCATGGTGAAGTATTTTAGGTGAAAGTGTACTGAAGTCTGCAGGTTACATTGAAATGCATTAAAAAATGAGATGGATGGATAGATACATGATTAAACAGTAAAATTATAAAATGTTACTGATCAGATTTTAGTGGTTATAGGAGTGTTCCCTGTAAAATGTATTCGCTTTTTCTGTATGTTTAGATTTGTTGGGGGTAAGTCACTAGAGAAAGCAAAGTCAGGTCTGGATATGAAGGTAGGCAAGAATTATTTTCCTACCTATAAAGTAAGTTTATAAACTTACTTTAGTTATAATGTGGTATGTCTAGAAATCACCTCTAATCAGTCATTGTTCTATCCCTTGCGCCCAGAGCAGAGCTTAGATCCTAGCAGGTGTCCAATAAATATTTGAATGTTGAATATTCCATAATCTCTGTAATCATACGAAATTTTTTAAGTTATGCTTGAAGTCCCAAATACAAATGTATTGTATACATTTGTTATCCTAGGTCCCTTCACATAACATAGTTTCACATAACCACAAATAATACTGTAATATTCTGTAGACATGCTAGTAAATATGATCTTGAGAAAGTCACTTGTTCACTTACCAGTATTTATTAAGTATTTATTTTGGTGGTTGCTAGGGATTTGGATCGTATCATGAATAGATATATCAAAAATTTGGATTTGATTAAAAGGTATTAAGCAGAGGGTGTGACATAGACATACTGAGAACAATTATGTGTAAAGGAAGTGAATTGGAAAGGGTCTAGTACTTTTTTCTCTAGATGATTTCTTACTCAAAATTATACTGCAATGCCATCCATTTTAAATGTGATAGAAGATCTCTTAAAATTTTCCCAGGGGAGTAAATACCTTCTTTTGTTGTCGTTGTTGTTGTTAATAAATGTTTCTGTAGGAAATCTGTTAATATCTAGTTAGTTGAGCCCAATGTTGGGATTGTTCTTTTTTTTCTTTTTTAAATAACCAATTAAAAAAAAAAATACAAGGATTGACTTGCTTACTGATTTACCACTGTTGCCATCAGCTATTTCCAACAGAGTCTTCTCTTTTTACTTTAGCTTCCTCTAGAATACAGTGTAATCTCTTAGTACCTTTTTGTCACCAAAATAATACAACTAAATCCCTAAAAATTGAAAATAAAAAGGTCACCTTGTTAAATTTTCTTTTTTCCCTTCAACCTAGTAAAGAAAGATATTTAAATTAAGGTTAATGGTAGATTTTGGAGTACATACAGGGCTAGAAAATACTTAATTTCATAGGAACTGTCTGAGAATTTATTTTGGAGTTAGAACTGGGCTTATTAAGCTTGTGTAAGGGAGACTGTTGTATGGGTTTGTGAGATTTAATCACCAATTAACCACTAATCAGTCCTAGTTGTAAAAGTGAATTCATATCTCTATGTAAATTTGCAGAACATTTTTTTCCTTTTAGGTCACATAAATCTTTGGAATACAGGTATAATGACATTTGAGATATATGTACACTTATATAAGAAATGAATATAAGCAATGGAATTTAAATTTTGTGTTTTATTGACCACAGAAAGTAATCTGGGCTGGAGAGAAGGTAACTACTCAGGTGGATCATTACTAAGAAAATTACTATTAATGTATTCTTATTTTTTTCTTTAATGTCTTTATAAATTTTTCATGAACTAAATTTTGTGATGGTATCTTTCATATTAGTATAAAGAAAATCTGAACCTTCCTTACTGTTCTTCCCACAGATATTTTATTGTGCAGATTTGATTATGCATGGATGAGGAACAGGGTTAATATGTATGTGAATTTTTTCAGTGTTTTCTAACATTCTTAAGTAATTTCTCATGAAACTTCCTTAAGGGGAAAAATAAATGCCCTGACGTACAAAATCTCTTATTTTCTCATAGATGTACTTGAGGGATACAATGGAACGATATTTGCATATGGACAAACATCCTCTGGGAAGACACATACAATGGAGGTAATATTTTATAATCTGTATTTGCATGTGGTTTGCAGAATAGAGGTGCATTCATTATTTGCGAAATGATTTTACTGTGTTTAAACAGCTTTATTCTGTTGCTTACTCTCCTATGAATAATACATAGGTAACATCACTGTTGGAATCTAATCAGTTCTGGAGTTTGAAATTATATATTTGAAATCATATCTAGCTTTGTTTTGACAGCATAACCACACAATTATAAACATTTTAGAATTAACAGGAATTTTCTTTATGATGGAAATTTGAAATCTTGAATGTTTTATGTTTTCATTTCTATTCAGAGCAATTCGTTCTCCTCTCCAAATACCTGCCACTTTTCTTTAATAGGAATGTGTCCACAATTGTCGGTGCTGCCATTATAATAAGATGTGGATCTGCCCAAACTTTGCTTCTAGAAAACATCCTGTATCTTATGCTGCTGCTACAAAGCATCTGCTTTTGTCATTTACCTGAGCATTCTGTATAAATGGCTGAATATTTTAGTGTAATTCACATTACTCGTTTCCATAAAGTTATGGAGAATAAGGACATTTCTAGCACTTGCGTGGATTTGACTTGAAGGAACAGTATGAACTTACATTGGAAGAAACAAACTAAAACTCTTTCTTTAGAATATGTTCATTTCACAAGCATGGACAATCTAAATCTAATGATTAAATAAAAGGCTAAGATCAGTTGGTAACCCATGTTGTTGACATGCAGTATTTATGTATAATTTTCAAATATATGTAATAGTTGAATTGGATTTTTTACATATTTGTAGAGCCATTTCACAATAAAATGGCAACAATTACAATTTCTATCCTCTATTGGCTGTAAATTGTAGATTGGAAGTTTCTACTTTTAATTCATACTTAAAGTCTCATTTTCTGTTTAGGGTAAACTTCATGATCCAGAAGGCATGGGCATTATTCCAAGAATAGTGCAAGATATTTTTAATTACATTTATTCTATGGATGAAAATTTGGAATTTCATATTAAGGTAAAATCCGTGGGGTATTTTGTTTTATATTAGAATAATTTTATTCCAAGAAATAATAAATGCTCTTTTGTTTTAAAAATATTTTTAGTTATTTTATGGACAGTTACAGTAGAAAGATCATTAGAGTTAGTAAACTGAGGGTTCTTAATCTGCAATTAGATGACCTTAAACAAGGTCATAAAGTCTCTTTTGTCTTAGCCTCCTCTGTAAAGTGATGGAGTTTATTGCTGAACTCAAAGGTTCTTACTGCTCTCATGAGTCTAATTCATTGAAGATGAAGATATGTAATAGAAATTGCTTTTTAGTTACATGAGCAGTTTAGAGAATTTAGATATTCCTGTTAGAACATGAGCTGTGGCTGAGTTGTTAACTCTGTCCTCTGGTATAGATGGTACTTGGCACTCAAACCCCAATAAATTTAATGAACTAATTATGAATTATTTTATACTACTATAGTAGTATAAAATAGTAGTATATTAGTAGTATAGTAGTAGTAGTAGTATAGTAGTATACTATTATACTACTAATAAATTATTTTATAATTTTAATTAGTTGATCTTTTTTTACTTTATTTCTTTGCCCTTCAGGTTTCATATTTTGAAATTTATTTGGATAAGATAAGGGACCTGTTAGATGGTAAGTTAAATTCTTGCTCTTTTATCATTTTAAAATAGCACATGTTACTTTTTTTAATAGGTGTGAGACCATTTCTAAGTAACCTCTATGAAATTGACTTAAATTACAAGAAACCGATTTTAAAGTTCTTTTAAAGTTAGTTGAATTTCTTTTACACATTGAATAACTTATTTAAAGCACATATTTATGGGTGCTTGTGTTTCTTAAGTAGTAATTAGAGAAATGGATTGTAGTTAGAGGTCCTGAGTCCTAGTCTGCTGTCAGATACATTGCCCTTGGGCAAACTGTTCAACCACTCTGGCTTGTTATTTCCAAAATGTGGGTGGTAGAGGTTGCATTGGACCTAAAATTCTATATTGCTGCATTAAGTTTCTATTCAGATCTCCTCTGTTTCTACAGAGTCTTTTTTAATAGTGATGTGTTCATATTTTTAAAATTTACCTATTAGTAGGCCGCTTGGGAAAGGAAACAATCTATTGAATTAGCTATTTCATGACTAGTGTTAGAGTTTAGGAGAATGTTGCTGATATTATTTATTTGTCTTTTTCAGTTTCAAAGACCAACCTTTCCGTTCATGAAGATAAAAACCGAGTTCCCTATGTAAAGGTACTTATAAGATAATACAGAATGCTTGTTTAGAAAAATCCTGTAATAGGGGCGCCTAGGTGGCTCAGTTGGTTAAGCGTCTGATTCGGCTCAGGTCATGATTTCAAAGTTCATGAGTTTAAGTCCTGTGTTGGGCTCTGCTGACAGCTCAGAGCCTGGTGCCTGCTTCAGATTCTGTCTTCCTCTCTCTGCCTCAAAAATAAATAAACATTAAAGAAAAATTTTTTTAAAGAAAAACCCTGTAAGAAAATTTTTTAAGGTTACTGACATATTAAAAAAAAATTATTTTATAGGGATGCACAGAACGTTTTGTATGTAGTCCAGATGAAGTTATGGATACCATTGATGAAGGAAAATCCAACAGACATGTAGCAGTTACAAGTAAGTAGAATGTTTATTAACACGAGTTAAGGTACAGAGCTGCCTTAAAATATCTTTATCAAGTTGGTTAATTGTAAGATTTTTATGTAAAGTGATGCTTTAGAAATTATTAGTAAGGGAAAGCCATGTTTGTTTATAGTTGTTTGTGTAATTTCATTGCAGATATGAATGAACATAGCTCTAGGAGTCACAGTATATTTCTTATTAATGTAAAACAAGAGAACACGCAAACGGAACAAAAGCTGAGTGGAAAACTTTATCTGGTTGATTTAGCTGGTAGTGAAAAGGTAAAATCTTTATATTCTGGTAGATATTTAAGCATTTTTATAAACCTTAGCTTGAATTTGGACTTAGGCATTATTCATTGTTAACATCTTGAAAACTTATCAAATTGGATTTGGTAGTATTTTTGAGAGTTTAAAAGCACTGATGCATTGCCAATGACTACTTAAACTGAAAAATCAGTTGCAAGTTACTATCATTTGTGCCATAGTCCAGTTCAACCAATAGGTGTTACCTTTTACTTAGGGTATATGTTTTTATTGAGAATTAGTTCAGCATATATTGTTATCAATTTTATTAGTTATTCTTTTCCTAATTTTTGGTATCTATTTTATCCATATTGGCAGTGGGCTCCCTGTGAAAACTGATAACTATCCATTAGTCTTTTCTGGTTTGGTTGTACCTATTTTCTTTCCTTTGGATGATTATTTAATTATTACAGACTCTACTGTGGACTATCATCTGATTATAATTTATGTGAAAATCAAAATAAGTTCAAATATTTTAATATTGATCTCTGCAACCATTTTTGCTGTTTCACTAATTTGTTTCTTCTGATTAAAATGACATACCTACTCCCTTTTACTCAAGCCTTAAACATATCCTTCAAAGCCTGTCTTTACTTTTGTGAATTCTGAGAGGCTGTTTCTTCAGCCGACATTGCTAGTCTACTATTTTATCCTATCTTTAACATGTGTATTTTATATCTTTTTTAAAAGCAGGTTTGCTTATATATTTAAATTCAGTACATAACAGAATATCAACCTTATGATTTAGCAAATTTTAAAAGGTTCCTCTTTAATGGAGCAAAGGGGATTAACAAATAGTAAATTGCAAATGTACCTGAAAATTTGTTATTTTCAAGAGCACAAACTAAAAATAAAATTCGGGATCTCCTTAATCACATTCTTGTCATGGACCTACAGTTGTCAGAAGACCAATACTCAAGTAGTGATAGCTTAGAGTAAATAATTGACAAAATCATGAAGCTTTTCATTTTGTTCTTTGCTGGTTATTGATGACCTCTGAACTTTTTAGAAAATTCAAAGAAAATAATTCTTAAACTTACAGTTTTGTTTTCATTCTTTTGAAATCTTATGCATAGGTTAGTAAAACTGGAGCTGAAGGTGCTGTGCTGGATGAAGCTAAGAACATCAACAAGTCACTTTCTGCTCTTGGAAATGTCATTTCTGCTTTGGCAGAGGGAAGTGTGAGTACACACGTCTTCTCTTTCCCTATGGTTATCTTATGGGGAATTACTTAAATATCAATGTATGTATATGCATGGATGTTTGTGGGGCCAGGGTGGAGCGGGCATCTGGTGTTTTTAAGTCAGTATGTGTAAATTAGTTGTCTTTAGGAATTTATAGTAGTATGTATGTTCTAGTTCCCATCATAATATTATCAGTTAAAATAGCCAAAATCCCTTTGTAATTTACTTACAGTATTTATAAACAGATTTTATTCTGTAGAAACCCATTGGTCTTTGTTTCTTTTGTTTTTGTATTGTAGACGTATGTTCCATATCGCGATAGTAAAATGACAAGAATTCTTCAAGATTCATTAGGTGGAAACTGTAGAACCACTATTGTAATTTGCTGCTCTCCATCATCGTACAATGAATCTGAAACAAAATCTACACTCCTGTTTGGTCAAAGGTTTGTTGTTAAGAAAATACAAAGTCTAAATGTAGATAGGTCTTTTGTTTATTAAATCTAGGAAAATAAAGGTAGATATTCAAATTAGTGCATATTGTTAATATGACACAACTTTTTAATTGAGAGATAATACAAGCAAGGTCCATTTTTAAAACTGCTTAGATTTGAATTAAGTTTTAGTACATATTGAAATCAAATGTTAAGTTCAGTCAAATTTATAGGAGAAGCTTTAATTAAACATTAAAGAAAATAAGTATTTGAGTCAGATAACAAAAGCTTGACAAATCTAATTCTCTGTTAGTCTGTTGACAGGTTCAAATAATGAGATAATATGAATTGGTTAACCTAGGAAAGTCATTAGTGATGATTTTATTTTTGACCTTCAACAATAATTTTTTTTTATTCAGCCTTGCAAAAGAATTAGGAAAATATGGGCCCTTTTTTTTATCCTCCTCTGGTGGTTAATTTTTTTTGTCTTTAAGCTATTCACAGATTTGGGACTGACCCAAATTTATTTAGCTTGTTGAAGAAGCACTGTAGTAATTATGGGTCTTTGTATTTAGTCTAAAGATAATTAAACAGTCAAATTACTCAGCCATATATGCCATACATATATATAAAAAACAGAGATCTATAGATAGTAATTGAAAATAGTTAATTTTAGTCACACTTTTTTCCTGCAATTACTTCTTTTAGGGCCAAAACAATTAAGAACACAGTTTGTGTAAATGTAGAATTAACTGCAGAACAGTGGAAAAAGAAGTATGAAAGAGAAAAGGAAAAAAATAAGACCCTGCGGAACACCATTCAGTGGCTTGAAAATGAACTCAACCGGTGGCGTAATGGTAATAATTTATAAAATCTGTCATTTTGAGTTTGTTGAATATGAGTGTAAAACTATTTTATAAATTTGAGACTGACACGAATATAAATAAGAATAGCAAAGCGTATCCATTTTTATTTTTTACGTATTAGAGATCATCAAATAAAAATGACTACAGTCTTTTAAATTCTGATTTTACCTGAAATAATAAATAGAGGCATAAAGGCCATCTTGGGAGCTATAGCAATCAAGGCACAGATGGCAAGTTTCCTAGATTAGGGTGGAAGCAATAAAAATTACAAGATTTGGTGACTGGATTTAGAAGATGGGGGTGAGTGAAAAGTAATTGTAGTTTTTTAAATCTCAGACTGAGCAGATAAAGTTAGTGAGAGCTGCTGAAATTGAATAAAATTGTCATTAGTTTTAGACAGGTGGATGTTTATTAACTGTTGTCTTATTTTAGGAGAGACAGTGCCTATTGATGAACAGTTTGACAAAGAGAAAGCCAACTTGGAAGCTTTTGCAGTGGATAAGGATATTACCATCACCAATGATAAACCTGCAGCTACGATTGGAGTTACTGGAAACTTTACTGATGCTGAGAGAAGAAAGTGTGAGGAAGAAATTGCTAAATTGTACAAACAACTTGATGACAAGGTACGTATTGTTCACATTCTATTTTGTTTTAGAATGTTATGACATACAGGTATTTTTATTATCTAATTTTAATATTGTGGGTCCAGGTGACCTGTGTATACATCTTTCCTTGATTTGTTAACCTTTTGAAAATCGTAAAGTTGACCCTCAGACAACACTGGTTTGAACTGCATGGGTCCACTTAGATGTGGGTTTTTTTGATACAGTAATATAAATGTATTTTCTTTATGATTTTAATAACATTTTCTTTAAATACTACATATAATATAACATAAAAAATATGTTAATTGTCTATATTATTGGTAAGCCTTCTATTCAACAGCAGACTACCAATATTTTAAGTTTTGGGGAAGTCAGAGGTTACATGTGGATCTTCAACTCCATGGAGGGGTCAGCACCCCTAACCCTTGTATTGTTCGAGGGTCATCTGTTTTAATAAAAAATATAAAATCACAATTTCTGTTTCTGTGCAGAAACTATGTATGAGACCTAATTTTTTCCCCCTCTTCTTTAATTTTCTGAAGGAAATTGAACATTGGGTTATTGGAGAGCCTTAATGAAATGATCTCTTAGAATCAGGGGTCTAGGGACTCAATAATAAAGGTGATGCAAGAGATTAGAGAGGGAACAGAATAAAGTGGTAATAGTGTTTTCCTGCTTTGATTATATCCATTAGAAGTGTGAAAAATAACAAATTACAAAGCAAATAGGAAAGGGAAAATGAGAACAGTGAAGAGACTAGAAGAAAATAGTTCTGGTTTTGTTTTTAGTTGGAATTTTATATGTGTTGTAGGCAGATATGGCAAGTTTGAAGTAGCTGAATGGCCTTTCTGTCTATCTTTCCTTCTTTCTTATTTAAATTCAAGTTAGTTAACATATAGTGTAGTCTTGGTTTAGGAGTAAAACCCAATGATTCATCACTTAAGATAACACCTGATGCTTATCCCAACAAGTGCCCTGCTTAATGCCCATCACCCATTTAACCCATCCACCCACCCACCTCCCCTCCAATAGCCTTCTGTTTGTTCTGTGTTTAAGAGTCTCTTACGGCTTTCCTCCATGGCTTTCCTCCCTCTCTGTTTTTATATATTTTTCTTTCCCTTCCCCTGTGTTCCTCTGTTGAGTTTGTCAAATTCCACATACGAGTGAAATCATAAATCTGTCTATCTCTGACTGATGGATTTTGCTTAGCATAATACCCTCCAGTCCTATCCAGTTTGTTGCAAATGGCAAAATTTCATTCTTTTTCATCACCAAGTAGTATTCCATTGTGTGTGTGTGTGTGTGTGTGTGTGTGTGTGTGTGTGTGTGTGTGT